TTTTTTTTCAAGGATTTTTTTTTTGTATATCGAAAATAATTCAGATTTTATTTTTAATTCTGACTATAGTTCTAATATACTTTTAGTTTATATAATTCTTATAAATATTAGACCACGTTACAGTATTTATATAATAATCTATATGAAAACATTCAATATTCCCCGAACATTTCATTACCATACACCACTAGTTATTATTTAAATCGATTAGTTACCCGTATCGCAAATTTCTTGCAAGTTGCCTTGACAAAATGCAACTTACAATTAGTTTCTACTGTAATGTGAATAAATATGCATAATTTACCTGCAAAATCCAGTAAATCTTCACAGCTAACATCATGCTCTGCAATAGTATTTTTATCCAGATTTACACCTGGTATGGTAACTGAAACAGCAGCATCTGCCGAAGCCAGCCTTGGTCTTGCTGCTGCAGACACTGCAGTATCTGAATGACAATATGATAAAAATCAAATTACTTATATTCTTTATTAATGTTAATACATTTGCCAGTGTAAAGGCATGAATGTAACTTAAAATTAACAATACATCTTATAAAACAATTAAATAACATATGTAGTAGAACTCCAATTATCCGAACTCCGACTATCCGAATCGCCGATTATCCGAATCACTTTCAGAAAAAAAATTGTTCAAAAAAAGTCTAAGTGCGCTATTATTCTTCCTTCAGCGAAGCCAGTGTAGGTACATTGTTTGTTTTGATTTGACGGAAATGTTTACAAAACAATGATTTTTAACTTCCCGTAGAGCAAGTTATAGTAATCGCAAAAAAATCGAAATTGAAAATTTTTATATATCTTTACGTTTCAGAGGTTTCTGAATATTTTGGCATACCTTAGAAAAAATGGATGTATGTGTGGTGTGTGCGTAGTATGTATGTGTGTGCGGATACAAATTTTCGTCGACGATTTCGGGAACACGGATGAAGCAATTTGAATAAATTAAAAAACATTCGATCCGTATTGATAAGAAGACGTGCTGATTAGTTTTTGGCGGAGGTAGGTCTAGCCGTTCCAAAGATACGGGGCAAAAAGTGCCAAAAACGGTACCTCAGTTTTTAATAGAACGGAGCGTCCGATTTTATTAATTCAAAAAACATTTTACTTGTATTGACAAGATGAAGAATTGATCAAATTTTCATGAGGGCAGGTCTAGCGGTTGCGGAGATCTAGTGAAAAAAGTAAAAAATAAATGCCATTTGGCGGTCAAAAATGATCATTAGACATGTGCACGTCAAATTATCAGATAATTTATAGAGATTTTAACAATAAGTATAAATTTTGTTTACATTCCTATGGGTTCCGTACCAATGTTTACCCGTTAAGGTGCGTCCACACCTAACGAACGAACACGAACGAACAAGTCGAACAAGAAAATACAAAGAAGAACGAACAGGAACACGAACGAACGCAAAAAATTCCAAACAAACGCCTCAAAGCAGTGAGGGCTTGAATCTTTTTGTTCGAGGATGTACCGTGAAACGTCAGATTTATTATTTAAAGTGGCGGGAAAGAGCAAAATTATTTAAAGTCATCAAATTTACAAAATTTGTCAATAACAGCAATATCTTACAATAAACACAGCATAAACTAATGCAGGACTGCACATTTTAACATCAAAAAAGAAAAATGTTTGTCTACATTTGTGGTAGCGTCCACACTGCACATACGAGTTCAAACATGAACGAACAATTCCCTTTGATGTACCGACAAGTTGCGGAACATTGCTCGCCATGTTTGTTTATGTTCGTTCGTGATCGTCGTGGCGTCCACACTATGCTGTTGCCGTTCGTTCTGGTACGTTCTTTTATGTTCGTTCGTGTTCGTTCGTTAGGTGTGGACGCACCTTTAGACAGCTACGCGGCGCTTATGCGCTTTATATTTTGTCTCTATGCATTTAAAGCAGTACGATTGCTTTGAAAAAAAGTTCAGATTTTCCAACATATGTCAAAATAAAGAAAACATTTTTTTTCAAAAAAAAAGATTTTTAAAAAAAAAAAATTTTATTATTTTTTTTTTATTTTTTTTTTCAAAAAAAAGTAGTTTTTTGTCAAATTTATAATTTCTCAAAAATCTTATTTTTTCGAAGTAATTTTTTTTTCAAAAAAAATAATAATTTTTGGTACGGGAAGTTCCAGCAATTTGCCTTAAGGCACGATGCCCTAATTGCCTTAAGACAGATTTCCACTTACAGCTAGTTATTTCTAAACTTGCACATTTTTTTTAACTCGTTTAAGTACATTTTATTTGTATTTAAAACATGTGAAAATGTCATGTTTCTTTCACTTAATTCAATAAAAAAAATAGTGTAATATCAAAACGTTACTTTTTTTCTCTCCAATGGCAATTTTAAAAACAAACTCCGATTATCCGAATATTTGATTATCCGAATGGGTCCCGGTCACCATTAATTCGGATAATTGGAGTTCTACTGTACTTAAAGATTATATGCAGATGTTGTAAGCTAAACAATAGTGCTCACAACCAAAAAATACTTTCGGTGGAAAATTGACAATGTGGCAGTTTATCTCGCGATAGCGACGTCGTCATTTTTAACTTCCCGTAGGGTAGTTATAGTAATGGGCCGAAAATCAAAATTTTTGCATTTCTCGACGTTTTGAAGGTTTCTGAACATTTTTAAGGGGCATACCTCAGAAACCAAATGGATGTGTGTGCGTGTGTGTGTTTTGTATGTCCGAATTTTTTCGTCCACGTTTTCGAGCGCACGGATCAATCAATTTGAATGGTTTAAAAAACATTCGATCCCTATTAATAGGGAGATGTGCCGATTAGTTTTTGTCAAAGGCAGGTCCAGCCCTTACGGAGATATGGAGCAAAGAGTGCAGAAAATAGATATCGAGTTTTTGAGAGATCGGATCTTCCGATTTGTATGATCCAAAAAACATTCAGTTCGTAATGACAAGGAAAAGTGGTTATTAGTTTTTGGCAAAGGTAGGCCCAGCGGTTTCAGAGATCTATTTATAATATACACCAGATATAGGTAAAGTAAAGATAAAGGTAGAGCACCATATATAGGTAGAGTAAAGGTAAAGGTAGAGCACCAGATATAGGTAGAGTAAAGGTAAAGGTAGAGCACCAGATATAGGTAGGGTAAAGGTAAATGTAGAGCACCAGATATAGGTAGAGTAAAGGTAAAGGTAGAGCACCAGATATAGGTAGAGTAAAGATAAATGTAGAGCACCAGATATAGGTAGAGTAAAGGTAAAGGTAGAGCACCAGATATAGGTAGAGTAAAGGTAAAGGTAGAGCACCAGATATAGGTAGAGTAAAGGTAAAGGGAGAGAGATTGTAAATGTTGAAAAAAATGGCAGTTTTTGAAAAAAACTAAGCGTCCGAGTGATTCAAAGAACTTTCTGCTTGTTTCAACAAAATAATTGCTTTAGGAAAAAAAAAATTTTTCAAAACATATTTTTGTATATTTTGGATTAAAAATTCAAAAAATTACCCAGGCTAAGCACAGTCTAAGCACCACTCTGGTACAAATGTTTACCCAAGTGCGTTCAGACTGTTTTCCAATTTTGTGAAAACTATTGAAAAATGTGAAAATGCCGCCAAGCTAAGCGCAATATAAGTGAAAATGTCGCACAGAATTATTTGCAAATGCGTTTAGACTGTGACTATACTACTATTTTTTTTGAAATTGAATTCGAAATAAAATGACGAACGATTGTTAATGTTCTGGAGATAAATTGATTTATGATTTATGATTTACATTTGATTTGCTCAGATATAACAAGATAGGAAAAATAATGAAAGTTACAGTATTTGTAATAATATATTTGAATACGTTTAAAATTTCTCGAATATTTCATTACGGTACGAGAAGTTCCAGCAATTTGCCTTAAGGCACGATGCCATACACCACTAGTTTATTATTGTTTTATTTATTTACTTATTAACACATTTATATACTAATTAACATACATATTTTTTTAATGTCTCTTTTTTATTTATGATTTTTTATTAATTTTTTTTATATATATGTTTTATATCATTTATACATTATCACATGTATGTATATATATTTAGATCATAAAAATTCATTAACAGAATAATTCTGATTCTTCAGCAAATTATTTTTCAAGAGTATTTTTGTTTTTTATATTTGTATTTTAATAAATTTGTCTCTACCAATGTTTTTTTTGCAAAATTTGTCAGTTATAACAAGATAGCAAAAATAATGAAAGTTACAGTATTTGTAATAATATATTTGAAAACGTTTAAAATTTCTCGAATATTTTATTACGGTACGGGAAGTTCCAGCAATTTATTATTAACCACTAGTTAATCTATCTTATTATTCAATTACCTATTTCATCGACAGGCACTTCGCCAGGCTCGTAAAACGCATCATCAGTCTCAAAATTAAAATCAGACTCGACCAAATTTTCAAAATCCATCGAAGCCCTATCGACGTCCTGCGTACTCGGCACATCGTTCAACGACTGATGTCTCCTTGGCAAAACCACAGATTTCGATTCCTGCTTTTTCGGTTCGCCTGATTGTATATTCTCATACTCAACTTGCTAAAGAAAAAACAACATACGATAACAAAAACTCACATTTCATAAATATCCCGTATCAAAATTTGTTTGGGGGCCCCCAAAATATAGAAATATATAAAATTAAAAGAATATTTATTTATCATTCTAATTATTAACTTCCCGTAGGGTAAGTTATTGTAGTGGGCCGAAAATCGGAATTGAAAATTTTTACATTTCTCGACGTTTTGAAGGTTTCTGAACGTTTTGGCATACCTCAGAAAAAATGGATGTGTGTGTGTGTATGTATGTATGTATGGATACAATTTTTCGTCCACGTTTTCGGGCGCACGGATCAACCGATTTGAATGGTTCAAAAAACATTCGATTCCTATCGATAGGGAAAAGAGCTGATTAGTTTTTGGCAAAGGCAGGTCCAGCAGTTACGGAGATAAAGAGCAAAGAGTGCAGAGTATAGAAATCGAGTTTTTGAGAGAATGGAGTATCCGATTTGAATGATCTAAAAAGCATTCAATTAGTAATTATTGGGAGAAGAGGTTGTTATTTTTGGCAAAGACAGATCCAGCCGTTTCGGAAATACCGAGCTAAATGAACAAAAAATTGCAGTTTTTGAGAGAACTAAGCATACGATTTGAATGATTCAAAAAACTTTTTGCTTGTTTGACAAAACAATTTTTTTTGTACATCGACAATAAATTAGATTTCGAAAATATTAAACAATGCCACAGTATTTATAATAATAATCTATTTGAAAACATTAAATAGTCCTCGAACATTTCGTTATGGAACGGGAAGATCCAGCAATTTGCCTTAATTTTAAAGGTATTTTACATAATAATTACATTTTTAACTAATGCTAAAACTACCGACGGAAGAAAATACTTTTATTATGGATTTTCAAAGATTACCGTTTATATCCCCCATTTCAAAGATTATCGTTTTCAAATCAAGTTTGTAGCTGGCTATACATCTTTTTTCCTCTACTTTCAAATATTGTTGTTAAACAATGCTTAACTTTACTGATTTTTGGCACATCAGTGGTGGACCTTTTTAATCCCGGACCTTCATATATTAATATCTATTCTGCGATAAATTCTGGGAAATTATAATTTGAAAAATGCTATTCGACAAAATGTCCATTTGATCGATACCAAATTTAGGTTCTGAATTTAAATATGATAAATAAAAAATAATAAATAGAAAATGTTTTATAAATACCAATGAGTATATAATTGTACAAATGAGATCTTTCAGAGCACCATGTTTGCGATAAGTATGATTTGCAAAAAAAAGAGTGCTACAACGCCAAAAAGTGCATTTTCATATTAACATTTCAAAAAAGTTGATATTTTGAGTCTCTAGTAACACTTGCGGCCCGTTTACTAGCGCTTTTATATATAAATAAAACTACAAACAAAGCTACTAACTACAATTTAATCATAATTAAATAATATTCACGTAAAATATCCTATTGAACGTAATTGAACATCATCTGTCAAAAGCGTTTGACATTTGACGTATTAGCCACCGTCCATTGTTTTATTTAAATTATGCTTCTACAAAAATTTTCAAATTAAAAATGTAAAGTTTCTACGCGGATTTGAAATAATTTCTCACCTTTTGGACTTTCTCTGGATTGGCACGAATTTTTCAAGACTAAGACTGGCCAAATCGATTCAGCCGTTTTCGAGTTTTACTTGGACATTTGAAAGAGTTCTCCATTTTTATATATAAGATAATATATAATTTAATATTTATTAAATATTCCAATTAATATTACCTTCAACGTCGAAAGTTCTTCTCTGGTAAAATTATTCTCCAAAAATTCTTTATCCTGTTTGGATTTACTACCAAAGTCTACGACATCGCACTGGTTCATATAACAAGGTGACGTGACGTTTGTGGTGTGAGATGATGTCACGTTGGTGAGATGAGACGTGACGCTGGTCACGTGTGACGTGACGATCTTGGTGGGTGACACTCTTTGTACTTGCGGAGGAAATGTTAGAGGCGGACGGTCTTCTACAGGTGTAATCTAAAACCAGGACAGAACATAAACATGCTGCACTAATATATATATATATATATATATATATATATATATATATACAGTAGAATCCGATTAGTATGACGCCCGATATATTGACAACCGCTTATCATGACGTAATCACACTAGAAAGTTTGGTTTCCATATAAAATACCTTAAATAACAGCTGTCTAGTCGGATATATTGACACCGCTTACGTTGACATGTTGCTTATAATGACCCATTTTCGCAAAAAATTATGTCCAATTATAATGACCAACATGATTTTACATGATGTGGCCAAGTCTACGAAAGCAATTGCTGTGTCTTTTGTGCACAATAGCACCAGGGACTGCTTTTACAATAAAATTATGTAAAGAAATCAATCAAAAATTACTGATTACTTACATTAAAAAATCACATTTGTATGTTTATGGGTAGGGTAGACCAATTATTAACGGTCCACCACGGATATCTCGTAAACAAATAAAATTGGATTTTTTTTAACAAAAATGTTAAAGGCGGACGTTAATGTTAATGTTAATGTTAGAGGCGGACGGTCTTCTACAGGAGTAATCTAAAACCAGGACATAAACATCCTGCACTAATGAACAAACTTATATATATATATATATATATATATATATATATATATATATATATATATTGTTGAGAATTGTGTTCCTTATAATTATAAATATTAGTCATAAGTAAATTCATTTGAACGATGTATAATCCCAAGTAACAGTAAATGTTGCGAATATCTTGTACATCTGCCAGACAACCCTTAATAAAAGTTTATGATAGCTCATGTACCCTCGGCGAGCTATCATAAAACTAGAAATATTAGAAATATTTTAAAAAATGTAAAAATATAAAGATAGTTAGTCCTGAGCTGTTGAAGAAGTAACAACTAAAATATTATAATAAAGCGCTAAATAAATTCTTGCATCTAAATAAATTCTTTGATTTCACACACTTCCAGAAGAGCTACAAATGTTCCAATTCTCATCGTAAAGTATTCCAAATAAAACTTTAATCCAATCAAGAAGTATATTTGTATAATTCAAAAAATCTTAAAAAAAAAATCCCTTAACGAACTATAGAAAGATTTATCAAAATCCGAATAATCGTTTAGAAGGAGTATATTTACATACATCATTACAGAAGAGTTTTATATATAAGATATATATATATATATATATATTAGGGTGGTCCTTAAAATGGTCATTTTCGAATTTCCTTGCTCCCAGGGGCTCAAATGGTTCCAAATAGATAAATAAACAATTCTCTGAAAGTTTTAGCTCTTGATATTATCGTTTAGATAGAGCGCAATTCAATCAAAGTTTTGTATGGAAATAGCATGAAAAAATTTTCAAAATTTTTTAAAATGTTTTTTAGATGTAACTAGCCGGCCCGACACAATTCGTCCTGTCAAAAAAAATTGTAATGTGGCGGTGTTTTGAGCCTACCTTTTTTCTATTCTTTGCAAAAAATTATCCTGAACAGAACCGTCACCCTGGTAATAATTCGGTGTGAATTAAAAATAATTAAATAAAACACTATAAGCATTTAAAAGTAAGTAATTTTAATAATGTAAATCATAATTCAAAAATCAGTTAAATTTTCATTGTAGTGCTTTGTGATAAACGATGTTTTTTGTTTGATTACCTGGCGCAGAGACAAATAAATCTGATGGTTTTCCAATACGGGAATAAAGAACATACAATTTTCCATGTGAGAAACATGGGTTTTCTAAATTAATACCACAAACACTTAATGATACCATAAACGCACTGGAAACGCATTGGGATGCATGGTGCGAGAACATCTTCTGCTTTATACTATCCTTTGAATATAGTTGGTCGATATTTCGCAACATTATAATTGCCGATCCAGCCTTTAATTGAAGATTGTGAGGTGGCAATCCTAGCAAATCCAGCGAGTTTAAAAACTCCGGTGGATCGTCTTGGTTAGTTGCCGAATCAACTGATTCGCCTGTAATTTGTTCTTGAATTTTGAAATTTAATTAATTTACATCAATGTTTTTGGCTGCCAAGATAGCTTGATTAATAGAAAGATATTTCTATGTTTATATAAATATATTCAAAATTAGATTATCAAAAACTACACAAAATGTCATGACATAGATCATTGTTTTTTTACAAATTGCGTTGCCTACTCGATTAAAGAAGAAAAGGGCTGTTTTTAGGGTTTTCCCGGCAATTATTCGTTTTTTCTCGCCGTAACAACCATCCTTGGACTTTAACGAACATTTTAAAAAAAGAATTGGCCAAATTGGTCCAGGCGTTGTTGAGTTATGCGCTTACCAACGCATTTTGCGATCCATTTTTATATATAAGAAGATTTAGCGAACAAATGAATGAATAAAACTCATTAATTTGTCGCTAAGTTAAACCTAAAACATTTTTTTTTAATTTTCAAAATTTTTTCCATGCTCTTTCCATACAAACTTTGATTGAATTGCGCTCTAAAACTTTCAGAGAATTGTTTTTTATCTATTTGGAACCATTTGAGCCCCTGGGAGCAAGGAAATTCGAAAATGACCACCCTAATATATATATTAGAGATGGGCTTATTATATCCGAAGCCGGATCGACTCGGATTTGACTCCGCTTCACGGAGGAGTTATATCCGCTTAACAACTCCACGACTCCGACAACTTTGAAACTGAAATACTCGACACAAATGCGTTCTATAGTGCGTTGTTTATGCATCTAAGGATTTGTCAAATCGCATTTAATTTTGTGAAATGAAAATTTATCTATAAAATAAAATTAAAAAAATATCAATAAAATATTATTTCTAAAAAATTCACAATTAAATGACGAGTTGTAAAATTTTTCGGTCGACCACATGATCGACTCAATGACTCGTAATTTTAACAGTGCTGACCAAAGTAAAAACGCAAAACTTGAGAATCAAATTTAATTTAATTATTTTCTTTTGATGAGAAAATAATTGATTTTTTGGATTAATTTTATATAAAAACTAGTTGGTTTGGTATTTAGCCTTGAGTCAAGTTACATGAACTTCCCGATATGTGTAAATAATCGACCTAATCAACCAAAACTAAATTAATTTATGATTGATTAAAAGTATTCCGAGTGGATTTATTACACATAGTTGAAAACGAACAAACATGTTAATCGGAGTATTTTCTAAAAGCAAATTTTCAAAAATCAATAATTTTTTAATTGAACGTTTCCGTAGGACGATTTATTACGTAATGATTTATCACGTTTATTAAGACCAAGTACTCTATCGATACACCAAGTGAATCGTCTAATTTTAATTTTAACAAACGTCAAAAGAACTACTCATTTTCTCAAACTTTGATGAATTTTTAAAATTAAACTACATGTCGTAAGGCCTTAATATTTTAGTAAGTTCTATAAGACTATGATATATATCGCCAAAAAAAGTTTCATAAAAATCGGCTTAATTTTTTTTTTCAACAGTTAATTACAAGAAAACGGCTCGGTAGATTTTCACCTAAAACTAATCAGTATCATTCCCAACTAATATCTTTCGAACAGTTTTAAATTTTTTAAAATCGGTTCGGTAGGATAGGCTTAAATGTGGACGAAATTTTTTTCACTTTTCTGCTATTTATAAAGAAACGCCGATCGTCGCACAAATCTGACAAACGATAGTCCTCGTCGAGATATATCGAATGGCTTTTAACATCTTTGAAATCGGCCCAGCCGTTTTCGAGAAAACGTCGATTTACGGCAAAAAATCTGTTCACACACACACACACATACACACACATACACACACACACACATACTTTTGCCCAATTTGGTCTCATTCGATTCAGAATGGCTTGAAACGTCGAGAAAACATAAAATTAGCGAATCGGATTTTTTTATGAAAACATAAACTTCTCCTTCGGGAAGTTAATAATGTAGTAAACTTTTTAATAAAAGCAAAACATTTATCATAAAATATTTTCACCAAATAATAATACTTCTGCTTTCTAATTTTTTCTACTGCTATTTCCATTCGAGAATTAATATTATATCGGGTAGTTCAATTAGCATATTATTACTTTTACACAATTATATAATTGTGTCTCAATTCATATGCTGTTACAGAAGAATTTTAAATAATATATATATATATATATATATATATATATATATATATATATATATGGTGTGGTCCACCATAAACAAAAAAATTTCAAAAGTACCCTAGTACAACACTCTATTGAAAACGCCCATTCATTTAATTTCACTCCAAAGATTTTATATCATGAAAGTTGCATCTTTAGGAGATTATTCGCGGAGAGTTGTCTTATTCTCATGAATGTTTCTAACAGTGTCAACATTAGATCAGATCACAACCTATTACATGACTCATATTTAAATTTTTTACACTTTTTGACAAACAATTAATATCGACTTCCTTTTAAGTTCAATAATTTAAGTATTTACACCCTAACATGAAAAAAACACACACATACAATCTCACAGTTCTCGTTTCAAGTGTTTACACGTGTTACATATGAACCACCAAATACAATTAGTTCGTTTCCAAAAGCCAATAGTATAACATCGAATACAATATTATTTGTTTTCAAATAATAATTTTAAAAAAAGACAACACTTTTAGTAATTTTGATTTACAAAAGTTAACTATTCGGCGGAAAAATAACTCACAAATTCATTTTTTGTCAAAAATTCTTGTTTAGTGAAAAAGTGCTAACGTATATTCAAACATACAGGTAATTAATTCAATTTTATCATTAATCTTTTCTTAAAAAATTTTTTCCATAACTTTCATAAAAACATTCTATCATTTTTAATATCCTGTTCTGATAATCCACTCATTTATTTTTATCATTTTCATTTTGATCATATTATCATATTTCTGCACATTATTATTTGTTACAATTAATTTATTATTTAAGAAAAATCTATTTTCTTTTCCTAAACATATTGTTTGCTTAAATCTCATCAAGATCATGTTTCTTGACAGATGTCCTGAAGATGGAACGTACCTAGTTCCGAAACGTTGACAGTAAACAAATAATTAAATAAAGAAATTGTTTAATAAAAACTTTTCTTGTTTTTTTATTTTGTATTATTTTTGGATTCTTGTTCGAAACTCTACAAAATATACACAAATCCAAGATTCTACCATTCAATATATATATATATATATATATATATATATATATATATATATATATATATTATTCTTTACCTGGTTGACTTTGTCGAGTGTTCTTTGTACCCCAGAAGTAGCAGGTAGTATGACCAAGGGATGTTTCCTGGTATGTCGTTTGGCAGCATTACGATTGGATAAGGCTGTCAAATTTCTATCTTTTGGTGGCAAAGGTACTAGGTTATTGACTTGGTGATTGGTTGTATCATTGGGTTCTGAAAAATATATAATTTACACATAAAACCTCTAGAATATAGATCGTAGAATTATGTTGATCGTATCTATTTTTTACCATCAGGGTATGAAAATCCTCCGCCGTGTGAAGTGGTTGTTACATAACTAGGACTTTCAGGTACACTAACATCATCACCACAATTGGACGTGGCATCATTATTAACATCATCGATATGTCTACGAATGTTGGGCAGAGTCCTTAGTTTATCAGTTCCTGCAGGGTACCTCACACGAGGCCTCACCTTGAATATAATAACAGACTTAGAAACTAATTCAATTATCTTGATACAAAAAATTATGAAATAATTATCATTACCGCTGGAAAGTTTTTGCTGCTCTTTAAAATCCTCAAAGGATTCGTTTCGTCCATCGGTGAACTGCTCAATGTGTCCTTCTGGTGATGATGAAGACTACTGATCACCGGTGCCATTGTGACTGGAGGACCACTTTGTAAAATGCTTGTAATGTTGGGTGTAGTAACAGTGGTTGTCTATTAAAAAAAAAAAATAAGTCACCATGTTTGTTCCGAATAAACTTCTAAACTACTGAACCGATTTTAAAGTTGATTTGCACAAAACTTGGGGCATGGGATAATTTATATTTTAATTTAGATATATGAAAGGTGCTTTAGATGTGCCTGAATTTCTTGAACGATTCAATTTTATCGTACCAAACATTAAGTTGTGGAATAATAGAACTTTGTAAAAACCTGCTGTTAAAACCAAATTTGTTTCACGCGCATTTATGTTTAAAATATCAAAAATAATAATAAATCTGAGATTGATATCTTTGGTCTGTCGGTGACAAATATAAAAAATCAAACCAGCAAAATTATCCTTAAAAGACTGTCTTAAGTATACTTAAGTATCACTATAGTGATTTATAGTTTATTAAATGTTTAATTTTATTAGTTTTTATTTAATGTTATATATTAAGTGTTATGTCTATATACAAAGCTATCTATGAACTCATAATGCTCTAATTTTCTCACATATTATCTCTTTAGTTTAAAATTTTTACACTTTAAAATGTAACTATATTGTATTATTGCCTTGGGCGTTGAATAAATAAATAAATAAATATTTAGTGTGGTCCTTAATATAGATTTTTCCCAATTTCTTTGCTCCCAGAGGCTCAAATGCTTTCAAATTTATAAAAAAAAAATTCCTTAAAGTTTTAGCTTTTAATATTGCCTTTAAGATAGTCCACACTCCAAACAAAGTTTCTTATGGAAATAACATGTGTAAAATTCTATTTGTTTGTTAGAATTTTATAACTTAACGACAGGTGAATCAAAATTTTGAGAGTAATATTGTATTTGCTTATTTTGATGCCGTGTTAGTCATTCAATACTTTTAGAGAATTTAGAATCTCTTGAACCAAGTTAATTCTAGTTGAAATACAATTAATTTTAATTTTGGTGGAAATGGCACTTATAAAACTATTTGATTTAAATGCAAAAAAAAACCTTAGCAGTACTCATTTTTAAGCTTATTTTGAGCACTTTAAAACCCCATGGAATATATAAACACCTCGCCCCTAAACGGCTTCAAATACAACAATTAAATCTCGAATGAAATAAAATTATTATCATCGACATTGTTTCTGGGACGCTTTATAAAACACCGATTTATTAAGTTTATAATTGATATAATTTTGTTCATTACATGATTTTCGTTAAAATGCATATTTTTGGAGATACTTGCAAAAAAACGATGAAAAACGCCAAAACGAAACGAATTTTTAGTAGCCAATAACTTCAAAAGTATTTGCTTTTTTGAAAAACATTATGAAACATTTTTTTCTTATAATTAGTTCTTCTATCGATATCCGACGTTATTTTGAAAGAGATACAATTGCACCACTGAAAATGGATGTCATCCCCCCGGGAAGTGGCAAATGATTCTAAATTATTTTTACTTTTAAACTTGAGACTAAGATGAACCTAATTTCAAAATTTCCTGCAAATTAGAGCACATTAAAAATATTCAGACCCAAAATGCGCCATTGACTTGAGTAAATATTTCGTATCCAATGTCAAACATATGCATTTTTGACACAATGAACCTTCTAAATAATTGTTTAAATAAGTAAATTATTTTTGTATCGTGATTTGGTGAAGTAAGGCAAAACACGACTGCATTTAAAAGTTAAAAAATAATAATCAGTCAAAGTTAATTATAGGCTAAGTTTAATGTGCGACCATCGACAAACGCATGCGCAGACTGCATTACCTGTCAGATGTTGACTGTAAATTTTATATTATTTTAATTTTTGGCACATCTCAGCTACTTTTTGGCAATAATTACGTAGACATTACATTTTTCTTATTCTTAAACATATATTATATTTTAATAGTGTCTTAGCCTATAAGTGAATCGAAATGCTTGGCAGATGACAGTCTTCATTTGTTTTCAATGACAAACAATGCCTTAAATATTTTCAATGTCAAACAATGATATGCGGTTTTTTGTAATTTTTTCCATTTATTTCTACAATCTAACTATATTTCTATGAATCAAAACATTCTAGAAAATTTCCCGAACAAACTTCAGAAAGATTCATGAAAATCCGAATTATAGTTTAGGAGGATTAATGAAACTTACATTGTTACAGAAGAATTTTATATATAAGATATATATATATATATATATATATATATATATATATATATTAATGTGTCCTTTACCCACCTGAGTTTGAAGTGGCGCCACCTGGTTAACCGGTGGCGCCGCCACGACCGGCACAGCAACTACCACGTTTCCATTCAGCGTCGACAGGCTCCTATTGGCTGCAGGCTGCTCGATCAGGCTATTATAGGCCAATCGCGTCTCTTCGGTAATCGTCGACTGTTTCCGACGTCGGAAAAGGACAGAGAGAGAGAGAGAAAAGGACAAACAAGAGGAATCGGAAAAAGGACGAGTTAAGTCACAAAAAAGACAGGGAAAAAAAAGAAACCAAAATGAAACAAAATGTAAACAAATCGCAATGGTAAATAAAAACATTTTAAGTGTGTGTGTGAACTAGGGAATGCAATACCGGTATACCGAATTACCGGTAAACCGATCGATTTTTCAGCGGTATTTTACCGGTATTTACCCCAAAAATACCGGTATTTTCGGTATTTTTACATAAGCGCTATTTGATACATAATACACTAAAGTTTAAATTTCTCGGAACAAATTTATCTTTAAGTTCCATAATCGCATAAACAGCTATATCTTCAAGTGATTCTATAAGATAAACAAATGCCAAATATTATTTCAACTCGTCATTAAACTGAATATTTATTGCTTTACTAAGGGCTTCATATCGTATTACAATAAATAGAATTGGACTGATAGATAAAGATGTTTGTTTCATCTTATGTAAAAATGTAACAGTTTTTTAAGTGATATTTGCGCCAAAATATTATATATATATATATATATAATATATATATATATATATATATATATATATATATATATATTATATATTATATATATATTAGGGTGGTCCTTAAAGTGGTCATTTTCAAATTTCCTTGCTCCCAGGGTCTCAAATGCTTCCAAATTGATAAAGAACAATTCTCTAAAAGTTTTAGCTCTTAATATTAACGTTTAGATAGAGCGCAATTCAATCAAATTTTATTTAAACATTTTTTTAAAATTTTCAAAATTTTTTCCATGCTCTTTCCATACGAAGTTTGATTGAATTGCGCTCTATCTAAACGTTAATATTAAGAGCTAAAACTTTCAGAAAATTGTTTTTTATCTATTTGGAAACATTTGAGCCCCTGGGAGCAAGGAAATTTGAAAATGGCCATTTTAAGGACCACCCTAATTATATATATATATATATATATATATATATATATATATATGAAAAATATTTAAAATATATATTCGCTTTATATATATATATATATATATATATATATTTCTAACTTTATACATAATAATTATGTAATTACAAAATATTTTTGCTCCTTATTACAATTATAAAATATTATTTTTCGAAAACGTTTTGAAGTTTGAAAATACTATAGAAGCATCACATTGTTTTAAATAACAATACTCAACAATTATAGTAACTTATTATTTATCTCGACAAAGTATCCGATCTTAAATTAGTGTAGAAAAATTAATTTTTTTAAATATTGGAGATTATGCTAATTTAACACATCGGATACAGACAATACAGTTTATTGTAATAATGTAATATGATCTTTTGAGTTTTTGGTCTTTCTTACTCATAAGTTTGTTTTTGGTGAAAAGTACTCAATATACTCGATAGTGATAATGAATTAATTAAATTGGATATAATTTTGTTAAATTATTATTTAAAAAAATAAATTTATTGTTTTTATTGTTTAATTGAATATAGTTGTTGTATATACATTTTTTATATTTGTATTAGTAACTTTCAATTTTGTTTACGTTTGTTTAAGATAATAAAAATACCGGTAATTTACTGGTATACCGGTTTTACAATGAAAAATTACCGAAATACCGGCATTAAAATTTTCCATCGGTATTGCATTCCCTAGTGTGAACTGTGAATGTTTAGACATGCAACGAATGAAAATGAATTATGGTAAAGTTATATGTCCCAATTATATCTAATTTCTACATCTCTACTTGATTATTTTTTCATATTTACAACTACTACAGTTTTATTAATTTACATGATTGCTTTTTTGATTTAGTATAAAAATCGTGAAAGAATATATTATAATTTTTATATACATCGACTGCATAGAGAAAGAGGTATGTGTGTCGTTGTTTGAGGCAAATGGACGTATCTGATTGATTCAATGATTATAATCATAATTAGTTTAATTAATAAAAAATAATTAAAAATAATATGATAATGATTACATGTTTTTTGTTCAAATTATACATGCTCATGATATTATTGATACATGCATGTATAAAAATACTTGAGAAAGATATTATAATTTTTATATTTTTATATTATTATTATTTTTATATTTGATTTGTTGATTCACTGGTTATGTATTAAAATATTGTATTTTTAGTTTGTTACTATTGAGTTTATTTAAAATAGACTATTTACTATAGGTTAACTTGATTTGTGCTTCAATTTACAATTTTTGTAGCGTTTATTTTTAAATGTTTGAAAGCAAAGCAAAGTTATTTTACAACATATTGATGTTGTTAATTTTAAAAATTAGTTTATAATTATACTTTATTACAAATTAGATTTTTTTGACTCTTCAGTAAAATCATATTTTACTAACTACTTGTAAATTTTTCGTATCGAATTCATTGACTGACTTTTGCTAAGAGAGTAAGAGACTGCTACATACAATATTTTAGGATTTTCCAATTAACTTCAATGAAAATATCCAAAATTGAAATTTACACTTCTAAGGAGGCGTCCATCAATCACATGATCGTTTTTAAGGATTTTAGTAATACCAGGTAAAATTAAAAATTACCCCCCATTTCCCACCAAACATCACGTGAATTTTTAGTTACAAGAAAAAATTGTAAAATTTTAATATTTTTTGAAAATGTTTGGATTTTTTTTAAAATACAGGTAAAAAATAAATGCACGTGATATCTTATATTTTGTGATTTTTTGAGAACTCCTCCCCGCCTTTCCCTTAAATCCTCACGTGATTAATGGACGTCCCCTATGTAATTAATTTTTCTGATTTTAATTATAAATATTTAAAGTTTTAATTACAAATTAGATTTTTTCTCTGTTGAATTTTGTTGTAGAGAACTCTTTTGCTAAAAGAATGTTTTTACTGCTAATAATCGCAATAACAAGTTATATTTGTCTATATTTGATTCAGAGTGCTAAATCTTGGAGCAAAAGTCGGCACACTGGATGTCGTCTATGGACGACACTCGTACACACAGGTCGTTAAGCAAAAAGGTTATCATTAATAATCAAGATTTATGTTTTGTTAAAGTGCTGCTTTAAAAAATTCTGTTCTGTTCTTTTCTAAGATTTTCTTGATCCACAGAAATTTCATTGAAATCTTCAAATCTTTTGGTTATTTCAACAATCATTGGACCAAGTCGATATTTGTTATTAAGAATTTGAAAGTCCACAAAAAACAGATTTTTTTTGTAAATCAATTTCGCAATGTGAATATTTGTGTAAAGTAAAATTGTGTAATTCTTCATTTTACAATTTTGTTCATATTCACTCCAATTCAAATCCAATCTATTAAATATAAATTCTTTTTTTATGGACTTGATACATTTTTTGGCTTTTTTTTAATCCAGTGGTTGTTTAAATTTTCTCTTCCAACCATTATTATGGCTTTCAGATGCAAATTTTGTTTGTCAAGTTTATTGAAATTATATTCACTGTGATTCATATTTTATTAATTAAAAATGTAGTTTTATATCCAGTATCGTTGAATAAATGTATATTTTTTATCCAGTAGTTGTAAAAAAATCTTTATCAATAATTGCTGATCGAGTTAAGTTAAATTTGTCATTGATAAATGTCCATTTATTCATCCGGTAGTTCCAAAAAATATTTTTTTCTATCATTTTTTATAGAATTATCTAAAAGTCATTTTTTATCCAGTGTTTCCAACAATTCTCTTCCTACCATTACTGATTCGACTTCTTAAAGATGTAAATTTTGTTTACCAGAATTAATAATATTTTTTTCTTTCTGATTTATATTTCATTAACTGCAAATATCTTCTTACTACAGTAATATAATGTCCACTTTTTATCCAGTAGTTCCAAATATTTTTTTAAAATAATTATTGACCGAATTAGCTAGAGATTTGAATTTTGTTTACCAAGTTTATTAAAATTCATTCTGATTCATATTCTACTAAATATAGATATACTTCTTTATGGAGTATCATTTGATTAATGTTAATTTTTATCCAGTAGTTGCAAGAATTATTTTTTCAGAAATTGCTGACCGATTTGGATTAAGTAAAAAATTAAAATTAAAGTTTTAATAAGTTTCTTCAAATCCTATTCATATTCCATTAATAACATATGTCTCTTATTACAATAGTTTAATTGGTAAAATGTCCATTTTTATCCAAGAATTGCAAAAATTTTCTTTTCCAATCATTATCGATTAAATTGGCTTTGAGATGTGAAGTTTATTAAAATTCTATTCAATCTGATTCATTTAGTATTTTATTAAAGTAGTGTCTTTGGTAAATGTCCATTTTTTATTCATAAGTTCCAAAAAAAAATTTTTTTGTAATCATTATTGACTGAATTAGCTAAAAGTCAATTTTGTATTCAGCAGTTCCAAAAAAAAATCTTTTCTTACCAATACTGATTCCACTTTCAGGTGTAAATTTTATTTCCCAGATAATTAAAATTAAATTCTTACTCTTTAATATTTTATGATCATGTTAATATATTTTTATTACAGCAATATCACTGGTCAAATATCTATTTTTTATCCACAAGTTCCGAAAATATTTTTCAATCATTATTGACACCTTTAATCTAGTAGTTACCAAAAAATCCTTCTCAATCATTTCTGGTTAAATAGGCTGAAAGCCCATTTTTTTACCAGTAGTTCCAAAAAATTTCTTTTCCAACCATACGAGATTCGGCTTTTAGGTCTAAATTTTGTTTATCAAGATTATTAAAATTAAATTCTTAGCATTTCATATTTGATTGGTTAAATGTCCATAATGAAATATCTTTTTTATTCATCATTGACCAAATTGGCTGAAAGTCCATTTTTTATTCAGCAGTTCCAAAAAAACTATTTTGCAACAATTACTGATTTGACTCGCAGTTGTAAATTTTGTTTACCAAGATTGTTAAAATTAATTTCTTAGCATTTCATATATTGTCAGTTATTAATATATTTTTATTACAGCAGCATCATTGGTTAAGGTCCATTAGTTCCAAAACTTATCTTTTCTATTCATTATTGACCAAATTGTCTAAAAGTCCCTTTTTTATTCAGTAGTTCCAAAAAATCTTTTTAAATCATTACTCAATTCCATTTCCTAATAATCCTTCTTAATCTTTTATTATATCCATCAAACAATTATCATTTCAAAATGACAAAGAATGGCATTCACCATTATCTTCCTCTCGGCCTCCAACATCTTTATCTTCAGGTCATGGTGCCGGGCTGGGTGGATAATTAGTCAAAAAGTCTTGAGAAAATTCAGGAAACTCCGCCAAAGAATCATCGTCTGTTGACGATGATGATGTACAAGAACTTACTGGTGAAGTCAAAGTAATAACCTGGTTTCCTGATACTGTGTTTTCTACATTAGCAGCTCCTCCGCCTGGTAAAACAGGCGGCCAACGGAATTGTTGGGTTGCATTGAAGTCTTCACTGGTTCCTGGGTTGTTTTGAGGTGCAGCCGGAGGGCTTTTGCCTGTTAATTTGGTGACATCAAAATTTGGCTTCAATAAACTTGATTTGCTGTTAGCTTTTGATCTGTGTTTTGGGCCCCCTAAGCCAGGTGTGAACAGACTGGCTGCTGATCCAGGACGTCTCAAACCAGATTTTCGCGCATAGCCTCCGCTTCTTAGAGACCCCGATCTGCTCAAGAGCGCCTCTGAATCACTAGACGAAGAAAAGAAATCCGAGGAGGAACTACTGGATTGCGTGTTTATAAAATTACAACTTTGTCTCCTACGCATGTTGCGTGCTCTGATACTCCTGCGTTTGCACGTAAAAGAACTTGTACGTGGCCTGGTGTTGTCTTCTAAATTCTTATCATACTTCTTCCTCTGAAAACCGTCACTCCTGGGCACGTCTGCTGTATGCAGATTCCTCGGATAAAACTCATCGAACCGACGTTCAGTCCTGTCACTATTTGCCCTTTGTATGACCCCCCTGGGGCGCTGCTGAGACCTTTCCCCAAAGTTCTGCTCGTACCTCTGCTGGTCTAAAATCTTTTGCCAGGGGCGTTCAGGTCGTTCTGGTAATACCTTTGGGGGGCGTCGAAGAATTCAGGGCGGTAATTCAGGCCTCTGTCGTCGTAATAATCGGAGTCTCGCATGAGGGGGCGCGTTAGGAGCTCCCGGGAACGAGCGAAACAGAATTCGGCGGAGGCTCTGTCCCACAACGGGAGGCGAAAGTCTGAGGGGGCGCGCTCGAAATAGCGATTGTTGCGGTCTGAACGGAGAGAGGAGGCTGAGTCTAGGGAACTTAGAGAGGTGCGGAACCTCTGGTAGTTCGGAAATTATTTATAAGAGGTAATCGAGGGAGAGAGAGAAAGAAAAAAAGTGTGAGAGAAAGAAAAAAGACGTAGAGAGAAAGAAAAAGCGAGAAAAAAGACAGAAAAGGAGACGTAGAGAGAGAGAAAGCGAGAAAGGGAGAAAGAAGAAGAGACGTGGAGAGAATAAGAGGGGAAGAGAAAGAGAGAGACCGAAAGATAAAAGGAGATTTGGGAGAGAAAGAGAGAGACCGAGAAATAAAAGGAGATGTGGGAGAGAAAGAAAAAGACCGAGAGAGAAAAGGAGATGTGCGAGAAAATAAGAGAGGGAGAGAAAGAGAGAGACCGAGTGAGAAAAGGAAATGTGGGGATTGATTAAGAGAGGGAGAGAAAGAGAGAGACCGAGAGATACAGAAAGAGACCGAGAGATACAGAGAGAGACCGAGAGATACAGAGGGAGACCGAGAGAGATAGCGCCATCATGTGTTTGCGTATATTTTTTTTAAAACATTTATTTATTAAATATCAGTATATTGATAATAATAATTTATATATGGCATTTACAAATTTTTTTTTCATTTATTTAGGAAAAGAAAGAAAAAAAGTGTGAAAGAGAGAAAGAAGAAGACGTAGAGAGAAAGAAAAGGCGAAAAAAAGAGACAGAAAAGGAGACGTAGAGAGAGAAAGCAAGAAAGAGAGAGAAAAAAGGAGACGAGGAGAAAGCATAAGAAAGGAAAAGAAAAAGGAAGAAGCGAGAAAGAGAGAGAGAAAGAAAAGGAGATGTGGGGAGAGAATAAGAGAGGAAGGAAAAAAAAGAGACCGAGAGAGAAAAGGAGATGTGGAAGAGAAAGAGAGAGGCCGAGAGAGAAAATGAGATGTGGGAGAGAAAGAGAGAGACCGAGAGAGAAAAGGAGATGTGAGGAGAAAATAAGAGAGGGAGAGAATAAGAGAGGGATAGAATAAGAGAGGGAGAAAAAGAGAGAGACCGAAAGAGAAAAGGAGATGTTGAAAGAGAATAAGAGAGCGAGAGAAAGGAGGGACCAAGAGAAAAAATGAGATGTAGAAAAAGGTTAAGAGAGTAAGACAAAGAGAGATAGAAAGATACAGAAAGAGACCGAGAGAGATAGCGCCATCACGTGTTTGCGTATATTTATTTTAGTACATTTAATTTTTAAATATCAGTATATTGATAATGACAATTTACATATTGCATTTTCAAATATTTTTATTATTTATTTAACAGTATTAATTTTCGAATAATAATATTATTTTTATTTATTTCACGAAGACGTTTCGATATTAATATTTTATTTTTATTTATTTTAGAATAATATTTATTATCATTTTATATCATTTGTTAAATTTTAATATTTTTTTGTTTAGTTCACATATGATTTATGTGTTTTTATATATATATATATATATATATATATATATATATATTGTTATTTTATTAACAATTATTAGTAAACCGAATCATAATTAATAATTTTAGAAATTATTAACAAACCAGTATTTTATTAATAATTATTTTTGATCGATGCAAGTGCATAAAATAATCCAATTTAAATTACATCATACATAAAAAATTAATATTTAAAAAAAAACAATCGAGAAGGATACAAATAGGATTTTTGAGGATATCAAAAAAACGAACAAAGCATGTGTTAGTAAGAACAATTAAAAAATTAGTATTAAATGAAACTACGAATGTTTTAGTAATAAATTAATATTGATATCGATAGTATAACCTTATATATATATATATATATATATATATATATATATATATTAGTATATATAAATAAATATTCGAGTACAAAATACTATACATTATTAAATGCAGTGTTTGTGTTATTTGTTATAAAAAGCTACTGGATAAATATAAATATTGTATAAAATTTATAAATCAATCGAGTCTTCACAAAAACCATATCCTATCGACTGCATATATATGTGTTAAAATATTATTTTGTTAATAACAACACATAGCGAGATAAAAATTAAAAAAATATTAAAACAAAAATTAAACCAACAAACAAATGACACAAACAAATATTGATAGAGTAGAAGGAAAATATGAACAGAGGATATCGTGAAAAAAATAAATAGCAAAAAGTGATCATGAGAATCGACTAATAAGTGATAATAGAATTATATATATGTATATATATATATATATATATATATATATATATATATATAAAGTGATATACTACAGTGATGCAAATTAGAACAAAGTAAATCTACACAAAATCTATATTAATTAACCGTCTCCGTTGTTAAAAAATAAAAGCATAACTACATTGCATCGTTATATACCAATTGCAAATTAGAAATGGTTTCTTGTAAATTTATCTTTGTTTTTTGTTCGAGACTTTTGTAGTCTTGATAGGTAAAAGAAAAGTAATCGTATGACATACCTGTAAATCAGGTATGCTCTGCGCTTCTTGATAAAAACTGCATTCTGTCCTATTCGTGCTATTCTGATGAGCGCTTCCTGCCTGGTTATTGCCCTGGTTGTGACTTGGACTTCCACCGTTCTGGGAACTAAAATATTCATAATTAATAATTGTAAGTGGAATTCTGCCTTAAATTTATTTGTCTAACTTTCTCTCTCTTTGCCTTTCCATCTCATTCTTTCTATCTCATTGTTTCTCTCTCTGTGTCTTTCTATCTCATCGTCCATTAATCACGTGATCGACTTTTTTTCGAAATTTGGCCCCAAAAAATTTCGACCTTTTATTGAAAATGTTTGAATTTTTTTCAAAAAAAATCAGGTAACTTTTTTTTCAAAGCAATCGTACTGCTTTAACTACATAGCGGCCGCGTCGCCGTCTAACAGATAAACATTGGTACGGAACCCATAGGAATGTAAACAAAATTTATATTTATTGTTAAAATCTCTATAAAATATCTGATAATTTGATGTGCATATGTCTAATGATCATTTTTGACCGCCAAAAGGCATTTTTTTTACTTTTTTTACTAGATCTCCGAAAACGCTAGACCCGCATTTATGAAAATTTGATCGGTTCTTCATCTTGTCAATACAAGTAAAATGTTTTTTTGAATTATTTAAATCGGACGCTCCGTTCTCTTAAAAACTGAGTTACCGTTTTCGGCACTTTTTGCCCCGTATCTTCGGAACAGCTACACCTGCCTTCGCCAAAAACTAATCAGCACGTCTCCTTATCATTACGAATCGAATGTTTTTTGAATGATCCAGATCGCTTCATTCGTGTTCCCGAAATCGTCGACGAAAATTTGTATCCGCACATACATACACACACGTACACACACACACACATACATCCATTTTTTTTAAGGTATGCCAAAATAAAAAAATTTCATTTTCGATTTTTTTGCGATTACTATAACTTACCCTACGAGAAATTAATAATTTCAACTTTGCAATTCAGTTTATATAATTCTTATAAATATTAGACAATGTCCTTTATTTTAAATTCGATTGATTATATTTTGTTTATTTACTTTTCGTGTAAACATATACGAGGTCTGTTCAAAAAGTACCCGGAATTTTCGTTTTTTCAAAAAAATATTTATTTATTCGTCTACATTAATGTGGTCCCCTTCAAAGTAGTCCCCCCCAGATATAATACACTTATGCCAGCGTTTTTTCCAATTTTCGAAGCACCCTTGATATTCACTTTTTGATATGTCCTTGAGCACTCTCAGCGATTCGGCCTTTATTTCTTCAATCGAGGAAAACCGCCGTCCTTTCATGGGTCTCTTCAACTTTGGGAATAGGAAAAAGTCACACGGAGCCATATCTGGTGAATTTTTGCACTTTGCAACACTTTATTTCATTTTTTACGCAAAATTTAATACAAAATCTTTGACTTTTCAATTCTTCCATTGTAAAAATCGCCGAGCTCAGAAAAACACGTCGAACCTTAGCGACTACCACAGACAAAGTAAACAGTGAATATAGCTGAAAATTTCATCATACTTTAGGGGCATGTATACCAACACAATAAAAAAAAAATTTTGACAATCAGACACTCCAGACCCGCGAAATTTAAAAATTCCGGGTACTTTTTGAACACACCTCGTATAAACGTCGTCGTCCAATTTATAAGCTCATATATTTTATCTATAAAATACGAATAATAACAGTTTCAGTATTTATAATAATCTATTTGAAAACATTTAGTATTCCTCAAATATTTCATTACGGTACGGAAAGTTCCAGCAATTTGCCTCAAGGCACCATGTCATACACCACTAGTTTCTATTACTATCACTCTAACAATAAGGGAAATTAAAAATATTTATTATCTTACTTGATATTTCCGGATGTAGGAAACCGAAAACTGAATTTCTTCCTGGCCGAAGTATGAGGACTCGCTTGTTGTCTGGACGAGTGCGATAAACCATCTACAGTTCCATTGTAACTTTCCAGATCGGTCATAGATCTATCAAATAAAAATAACAAAACATTAATTATACACATGGAATAATTATATTTCATTTGAGTTTAATACCTTGCTGATATTTCATTCGCCATTGCAATGGCACAGTCCAAAGCTCGTTCGTCAGATGCAGAAATAGGTTTTACGCTCACTTGCTTTTTCTTGCCGGTACTGGCTGTTCTGCTTAACCTGATAAAATAAAATATATTATATATATATATATATATATATATATATATATATATATACTAGAACACCCGACAGACGTTATCCTGCACCCACATCTACGTTTTTTCAATATCCTATACTAATATTTACCGCTCAGTTGAAAATAATAATTATTGTTTTTCGAATTACTATTTACACCAATATACAAGTGATGTCAAATGTAGAACTGCTTCAAATAAAATGATTATTCTCAATTCCCACAGTTAACACTTCAATTATCCATTTAACAAATATTAAAATATATTCAATAAAATTGTATATTAAAACTTATACACTGCAATTAATAGAACAAATTTATTTCCAATAGCTCAATTTATTTTAATGCCAAGGGTTATACACTTTTTCAATCATACCTGTAGATGTGGATGTATAAATGAATGATTTTTTGTTTATTCACGACTAAAACATTGATTTTCCAAATTTATCACACAAAAAATCATCGTCTGCCTTTGTGATTTATAGTAAAAGATACACGTGTTGAAAATTGAAGTCCTTTAAAAGGTATAACAAATTCAGAAAGAATTAATATATAGCATTTGCGGTAAAGGTACAATATCACCTTGGAATTTTCTACCCAAAATAATTGCTTCAAAAATATTGCCTATAATTTTTATATATTCGTACCATATTTTAACTGGCTTTTAGTAAGTTTAATATCTAAATTACATTTTTCTCACTAATAATTCAATATACATCATTACTTAAGTTTATATTTGAAGTGAATTAATTTGTCAAATCTTGTTCACATGTGCTTTATTCAACCTACGATCAACAAAATTTTTGCAGTAAATGGAGAGGAAAAAGCGTGTGGGAAATAGGCTAATCTTTATTTTAAATTCAGAAGTGAAAACAATTTGCACTCCTTCACCACCCTGGCATTAATTGGATTATAACTCTTTTAATTCTGATTTTATCAGAACTTGTAACTTACTATTTTAAATGTAATTAAATGATCTACAACTTTCTCTATCATAAATTTTACAGTAACTTCTCTTATTTTACCGTAACTTCTCTGTCCATATTTGTGTAACAGAAAAAAATAAAAAGCAATAATTAGTCAGAAAAAGACCTTTAATTTTCATCTATATACCTTTATACGTATCTTTTAGTTTTTTAAATAGATTCTTTTCATGAAATCATGAGCTTTTTGGAAATCGCTTGCACTAAAGTTGTGGTATTTTCTAGAATCTGTCAAGATCTCCTAAACCAAATTGATTCTAGAGAGAATACGATTATTTTTAATTTTGGTGGAAATGGCACTCAAAAACTATTTGCTTCAAATGAAAAAAATATCATATGCGTCTTTTATCTGCATGATAGCTCACTCATTATAATGTATACTCATTTTAAAGCTTATTTTAAGTACTATAAAACCCCATTTTCATATCTAGCCTAATATTGTTCCTAGAACAATTTATAGAACACCGATTTATTAGGATTTTAATTGATATAATTTTGTTCATTACATGATTTTTGTTAAAACGTATATTTTTAGAAATATTTGCGAAAAACCATGAAATACGTAAATAGAACAAATTTTCAGTAGCCAGTTTCTTTTTTGAAAAACATTATTAAACATTTTTTTCTTCTAATTAGTTCTTTTATCGATATTCAACGTTATTTTGAAAGAGATACAATTGCACCACTGAAAACGGACGTCATCCGCCCGGGAAGTGGCAAAGGAGTATAAATTATTTTCACTTTTAAACTTGAGAGTAAGATGGACCTAATTCTAAAATTTCATGCAAATTGGAGCACATTAAAAATATTCAGACCCAAAATGCTTCATTGTCATGAGTAAATATTTCGTATCCAATGCCAAACATATAAATTTTTGACACAATGAAACTTCTAAATGATTGTTTGAATAAGTAAATTATTTTTGTATCGTCATTTAGTAAAGTAAGGCAAAACACAACTGCATTTAAAAGTTAAAAAATAATAATCAGTCCAAGTGAATTATAGGCTAAGTTTGATGTGCGATCACTGACAGACGCATGCGCAGACTGCATCACCTGTCAGATGTTGACTGTAAATCTTATATTATTTTATTTTTTGGCACATCTTTTCGGCAATAATAATGTAGACATTAGATTTTCCTTATTTATAACACGAATTTATTACATTTTAATATTGTCTTAGCCTATAAGTGAAGGGAAATGTTTGGCAAATGACAGTCTTCACTTGTTTTTAATGTCAAACTATGCCTTAAATATTTTCAAGTTCAAACAATGATAAGCGGTTTTTTGTAATTTTTTCCATTTATTTCTACAATCTAACTATATTTCTATGAATCAAAAAATCAAGAAAATTTCCCGAACAAACTTCAGGAAGATTGATGAAAATCCGAATTATAGTTTAGGAGGATTAATCATTCATACATTGTTACAGGAGAATTTTATATATAAGATATAGACAAATAATTGTTAAATCAATTATAATAATTATTACCTGTTAGATAATTCCATTATCTCGTTTCTTTGATTGACGCCATCGTGATCGACTGCCGGAGAAGGCGGTGCTTTGGGACTTCCAAGACTTCGAAACATGCTTTCCATTTCGTCCAACAGGCTTGGGCCGAGATCAAATGACTTCTGGTAAATAATAGAAACATTAGATTGTAAATAAATTAATTAAAAAATATGGTTGTGGTTGTAGTTACCTCAAATCCAGGACTATCAGAGACTACGTTCTCGTCATCCGATATTTCGTGGTACTCATGAGGTTCTGCATTGTTGTCTGCAAAATCATTCTCGTCCTTCGACCATTTCACTTTCCTGCCGTTGGAATCGCTGAAGTCCTTCCTCAAATCCAGATTTAAATTTAGATTTAAATTGGGAACTAGAAATAGATAATAGGGCTTGGTGTAAGTGGCATTTTGTCTTAATAGTCGAGTCAATAAAGAAAAAGGAAATCCGATTTTGTTATTTTTTTTTTAATATTGGTTTTTTAAAGAGAAATAATTTTTTTGTTTAAATAAAATTTTTGTTATTTATATAAATAAACTAGCAAACCCGACGAATTTCGTTTCGTCACCAGATGGTTTCGTGAGAAAGATGAAGAAATTTTTTGTTTGTTTTAAATTTGAAAAGGAAAAATTTAATTTTATTATACAACAGTAATGAATTTATTTCGATTACAAAAATGAAGTATTTTTTAGTTGAACGTTTCTAAGTAAATGAAAGTGAATCCGCAAATTATCCGTTTCATTGAAGTGCTCTTTGGTAAACCACATTTTTTGTTTTTTGGTGTGACGTTAACACAAACAAAGCGGATGGTTTTCCAACTCGTGAACAGGCAACGTATAACTGCCCATGCAAAAAACAATGATTTTCTAAATAATCTATTTGAAATTTATCCCGCAAACACTAAGCGATTAGTCTTGAGACTTGTTATTGCGAACGCTTGGAAATTGCAATCGTTTGAAGTCAAACGGAAAACCAGTCGGAATCATTGGTATGTCACCAAATCGCCAGTTATTTTTGATTGAATGGTAAAATTCAGTGCGTGTCATTATTCTTTGCGGCAAGAATTGCTCGTTGACTTAACCAAGCATAATTCTGATAATTCTCACTAATGTCATTACTCGAATTTTTAATTACGGTGCGTGAAGTTCCAGCAATTTGCCGAGACCTTTCCAACGAATGCAAAATTGCCGAAATCGGTTCGTGCGTTCTGGAAGAAAAACCCGATTTATTTTTATATATATAGAAGATAAATTTTCAAAGGTTTTTAACTTACCGTAGGGCAAGTTATAGTAATCGCAAAAAAAATCGAAAATAAATGTTTTTATATATTTTACGTTTCAAAACCTTCTGAACATTTTGGCATTCCTTAGAAAACTAGTTGGTTTGATATTTTGCCTTGAGGCAAGTTACATGAACTTCCCGAAATGTGTAAATAATCGACTTAATTGATGATAGATAAATTAATTTATGAGTGACTAGACGTATTCCGAGAGGATTTATTACACATAATTGAAAACTTTTCGTCCACATTTAAGCTATCGATTTTAAAAAATCAAAAACTGTTCGAAAGATATTAGTTGGGAATGATACTGATTAGTTTTAGGTGAAAATCTACCGAGCCGTTTTCTTGTAATTAACTGTTGAAAAAAAAATCAAGCAGATTTTTATGGAACTTTTTTTGGCGATATATATATCATGGTCTTATAGAACTTACTGAAATATTACGGCCTTACGACAAATAGATTGATTTTAAAAATTCATCAAAGTTTGAGAAAATGAGTAGTTCTTTTGACATTTGTTAAAATTAAAATTAGACGATTTACTTGGTATAATGATAGATTGCTTATTCTTGAACATAATAAACCATTAAAGTCCTGGAAACTGGTTCAATTATAAAAAATATTGATTTCTGAAAATTTACTTTTAGAAAATACTCCGAGTTAATCTGTTTGTTTGTTTTCAATTATGTGTAATAAATCCACTCGGAATACTTTTAATTACTCTTAAATTAATTTAGTTTTTATTGATTAAGTCGATTATTTACTCATATCGGGAAGTTCATGTAACTTGCCTCAAGGCTAAATACCAAACCAACTAGTAAATTTATATATTTACAGCATCAGAAGAGAATTCAAAGTGTTAAGAGGGCTAATTTAATAACTTTTAATTGTCGATAACTTCATAAATTTGACTAATGAATTCGCTACAAAGTAAAATAAAAACGGGACATGTGCTGAATTTGCCGACTTGAATGATTGCGCAATTAAAATAATCGGAAAGTGCTCATGCCTACTCGCTTGCACCAGTCTGCCAAGTTGCGCAATAAACACGCCACAGACGTTACAGAATACAGTAGGCCCTCGCTTTACACGGCACTCTGGGTACACGGTTCCCATACTACACGGAGCTAAAAATCCGACATCCCTCCGACTACACGGACTTCTTATTACACGGTATTTGGTCAACAGCCCATAAGGTCGTTGTACAAAAGGGTATTGATGTAAATTTTGTTATCGACTGTTATCTTTTAGACATGCTTGATTATATAATAGCTGTCTAAGAACACGTTTGAGCTGACTACTGTGTCGCGCCAATTTTTGAATAAGGTGTCAATGTCCTAAATGTCATTTCGTCCGTATTTCTCCTACTTCAAGTTGTATTTCTTGGTCTCCATACAACGCGATAAAAATGGTGCGATTTGTACCAACTCTGAGTCTCTCATAACACGGTTCCCATACTGCGCTATGTAAGGTTCCATAGAACGCACTACGAATTAGCCTGAATTGTATGTTAAATACGAATTTCTTATAGCACGGTTCCTATACTGCACGGTACGCACTTGCCGCGTAAAGCGAGGGTTAACTGTACATGTGCAAGTCGCAGGTTGCGCAAGTATACAGTTACGTCTGTGGCCGGCTTTAGTCACCAAAATAAAACATTTGACAATACTTTTTCATCGGCTCACTAGCGCCAAATTGGCGACTACAAGATGTCCCCTAACTAAGAATCCTTCTGATCGCGTCTTTATCAAAAGATACTCTATGCTCGAAATGTCAACTTGAATTCGGATTTCGGAACGACCATAACCGTGTAATGTAAAGTGTTAATGTAAAATAATAAACAGCTGGAAGATTTTCTACGACAAGTGCAAGTATATTTAGATTCATTATAATATTTGAGATATTTGAAAAGGATACCATACGCAGTGAAAATGTCTGAAGAAACAATTATGAATGATCAGAAAATTAAAATTGAGCCACTAGAACTTTCAATAGAAGACATAAAACTTGAAAATGAATGTAATGGAAATCTTGCAGGTATTGTTAAGTCTGATTCATGCTTAGAAGATGATGAAACTTGCCTGGAAAGATTTATGAATTCCGAAATAACTATTGAAGAAGAACTCAAACAGGAGGTAAATGAGTCAGCCGATTGTAAATATGAAATTGATAATAGATCATTTTCAGAATCTAATTATTCGAAAGAGCACATGGTTGATGATGATCAGAAAATTAAAATTGAGCCACTTTCAACAGAAGACATAAAATTTGAAAACGAATGTGTTGATCTTGAAGGTATTGTTAAGTCTGAATCATGTTTAGAAAATGATGAAACTTGCCTGGAAAGATTTACGAATTCCGAAATAACTATTGAAGAAGACATCAAACAGGAGGTAATTGAGACACCCGGTTGTGAATATGACATTTCTAATAGATCATTTTCAGAATATAATTATTTGAAAGAGTACATGGTTGACCACATACCTAGAAATGGCAAAAATGGAAACAATAAATGCAATGTATGTGATAAGACATTTAAGATTTCATCAAGATTGAAACGGCACATGATTACTCATAGCACAGAACGCCCTATCGAATGCAAAATCTGTCATAAGACATTGAAAGAAAATAGCATTTTGAAAAGACATATGCTCATTCATACAGTAGAACGGCCTTTCAAATGCATAATATGCAATCAGACATTCATAGAAAACGGTAGTATGAAATTACACATGCTTATTCATACAGGAGAACGCCCGTTCAAATGCAAAATCTGTCATAAGACATTCAGACGAAAAGGTAATTTGAAATCACATATGCTTTTTCATACAGGTGAACGCCCTTACAAGTGTAAAATATGCAGTAAAACATATGCACAATCGGGTGACTTGAATAGGCACATGCGTATTCACACAGGGGAACGCCCTTTCAAATGTGATACATGCAATAAGGAATTTGCACTATCGAACAGCTTGAAGAGACACAAAGTGAATGTTCATAATAGAAAACATGATGATGATCAATGAAATATTAACAAGCAGAAAGCAGAAATATCTATGAATTACTTATATTTTATTTGCATTGTAAATTTAATTACTGCTGTACAAATATTTAGTACTATAAATAAATTTATTTAAATATATTTGTTTTTATATTATAAGATTCACAGATATTGTTACAAATTTTATTAAAATGCATATTTCTTATTAAACTGTACTCAGTCGTAATATTTCAAACAAAATTAATTAAAAACAATTTTTGATCCATTAATGCCAAATTATACTGATCAATTAATTAGTAGAATTAGTAGAATAGAGAAAAAAAAATTAAGCACAATCCTAAACAGATTTCAACTGGTGGATTCAAATTGCCGGAACTTCCCGTACCAAATCAAATTTTTGAAAATCCGAATTATTTTCATAAAGAAAAAAATTGATATATATATATATATTTTCTTTTCCCAAAAACAATAATTTCTTCAACATAAGCAGAAATACACCCCACTAGTTTAATATTTATATTATAAACATTTCCTGTTTAAGTCAAAATATTTATATATATCAGAGCTGTTTCTACGAATTTTTTATCATCAATATTTTACCTTGAGATCTATTTCGTCCACTAACTCCATCAGTATTAGAACCAGATGCAGTCTCAGCATTTGCGAGACATCCTCCATCTGATGAAGCCAATAATGGTTGCTCGTCTAGATCTTCAGAAGGCTTATAAGGAGCCACTATTTGCCTAGGGACATTCGGAGACAGGCCATTATTGGAAAGAAGTGCTTCACCATTACCTGGAGTCGTGTTTGCATTGCCAATGGCACGAAGGAAAGCTATGTCTCCGAAATAGGCTCCGTCGAGACCAACATGACCTAAAAAAGATAGAGGACAATTTATATATATATATATATATATATATATATATATTTTGTATGATTCTGAATTTGATGTTGACATATGTATTAACAAAGTCTAATAATCGGGCATAACATCAATAAAAAACATGAATTTCTTTCAAAAATTTATTTTAAATCCATACGTTTCGGCTATAATCCTAGCCTTCATTCAGTGGAAACTAAAAATAAAATTAAAAACTAAAACAATTGAATTGGAGTGAAAAGAAAAAAATAAAATAGTAATTAGTACTTACAATTAGTTGATCTTAGTGTTAAATTGGAAAATTTTAATAATCCATGGTATTAGGATATGGTAATGCACTACACTATGTATTATAAACATTAACTTGAAATTACAACAATATTTTCACAAAATACTGATTTGAAAAAATCACAAATGGATAGTGTGTTATTCGTAGACTGGTTGAAGATGTAATGGAGAAAGACATTTTTTAAAAAATATTTTTACCAAGATTCTGCACATGTGTGGAACAAATTGTAAATCCTTTGCGCGAACGCTTTTATTGTTTTGTAAGAAATTTGGAAATGTTATCTAAATAGAAGAGATTTGTGTCGCACAGCGTGTTGAGTTCATTCCGTTTATTTATTGTCTTATTGTTATAAATAGTTAAAAAAGATCCCTCTATAATTCTTCGTTTAAATAAATTTTGTTCAAATTATATATATAATTATATATATAATTATATATATATATACTAGCTGACCCAGCAAACGCGTTGTCATAAAAAATATTTTTAGTATAAAATAACTAACTGATTGCAAATGTGGTGCATAACTGAAATGAGCAGCTAACAAACTAGTTGGTTTGGTATTTAGCCTTAAGGCAAGTTACATGAACTTCCCGATATGTGTAGATAATCGACTTAATCAATAATAAACAAATTAATTTATGAGTGATTAAAAGTATTCCGAGAGGATTTATTACACGTAATTGAAAACGAACGAACACTTTAACTCGGAGTATTTTCTAAAAGCAATTTTGCACAAATCAATAATTTTTATAATTGAACAAATTTTCGTAGGACGTTAATGGTTTAGTAGGTTCATTAAGACCAAGTAAATCATCTAATTTTAATTTTAACAAACGTCAACAAAATTACTCATTTTCTCGAACTTTGATGAATTTTTAAAATTAAACTACTTGTCATAAGGCCGTGATATTTCAGTAAGTTCTATAAGACCATGATATATATAACCAAAAAAAGTTCCACAAAAATCCATATGAATTTTTTTTTCAACAGTTAATTACAAGAAAACGGCTCGGTAGATTTTCACCTAAAACTAATCAGTATCATTCTCAACTAATATCTTTCGAACAGTTTCTGATTTTTTAAAATCGATTCGGTAGTTTGAGCTTAAATGTGGATGAAAAGTTTAACACTTTTTTTCAAATTACAAAGAAAAAGGCTCGGCAGATCGTCTCACAAAACTGACAAATTATAGTCCTCATCGAGATACATCGAATGGCTTTTAAATTTTTGAAATCGGTAAAGCCGTTTTCGAGAAAACGGCGATTCACGGCAAAAAATCTGTTCACATACACGCACACACACGCATACTTTTTCCAAATTTGGTCTCATTCGATTCAGAATGGCTTGAAACGTCAAGAAAACATAAAATTAGCAATTCGGATTTTTTGATGAAAACATAAACTTCTCCTTCGGGAAGTTAAAAATATATGAATAGTTTACCCACTGCAAAGCACACTACATACAAATGCTTCTGGGTAATAAAAATAGTCTTTGCAAGTGACAACCTAATCTGAAACTGATTCTATTTAAATTGAGTTAAGTCTTTTTATTAAACTATGAATTTATTTACCTGTATGTTTAAGATCTCCTTGTGGCGAACTAATCATTTCAGTCCTCAATCTCCTTTTGCTGTTACGATCAACAGAAAATGAAGACCTGAAATAAAAATATGGCATCATTTACCTTAATACCATAATTGACTGAAATTGACTTTGTTAAATCAACTAAATTAATTGACCAATTTAGGAAAACCTAATAGTTTCTTAAAATAATAATATAATGTCAAATTAAGCATTTAAATCCTTCAAAATAATATAATATTGTATCTATAACTATCATAATTATTTCACAAGGTTTCAAAAATAATAGTAACTAGTTGGTTTGATATTTTGCCTTGAGGCAAGTTACATGAACTTCCCGATATGTGTAAATAATCGACTTAATAAAAAAAAAAAAAGTGTAAATAATATACTTCATCAATCCTACTTTAAAAAAACGATAATAATTTTAGCAAAGTTTGACGAACTTTTAAAATTAATCTACTTGCCGTAAGGCCGTAATATTACAGTAAGTTCTATAAGACCATGATGTATATCGCCAAAAAAAGGTTCCATGAAAATCGGCTTAATTTTTTTTTTCAACAGTTAATTACAAGAAAACGGCTCGGTAGATTTTCACCTAAAATTAATCAGTATTATACCCAACTAATATCTTTCGAACAGTTTTTGATTTTTCAAAATCGGTTCGGTAGGATGAGCTTAAATGTGCGCGAAAAGTTTAACACTTTTTTCAAATTGCAAAGAAACGGCTTGGCAGATCGACACACAAAACTGACAAACGATAGTCCTCACCGAAATACATCAAATAGCTTTTAAATTTCTAAAATCGGCTCAGGCGTTTTTGAGAAAACGTCGATCAAAGGTCTAATTTTGACAAATGCCAAAAAAACGATACCAATTTTTGCAAACTTTGACGAATTTTTAAAGCTGAACCAGTTGTCGTAGGGACGTAATATTTTAGTATGATCTAGAAGACTATGGTATCTACCGTCAAAGAAATAATCATAAAAATCGTCGAATTTTTTTTTTTAAACTTTATTACAAGAAAACGGCCCGGACGATCTCTATCAAAAACTAATCAGCACGATTTCCAACCAATATCTTTCGAACGGTTTTTGAATTTTCAAAATCGATTCAGAATTGCGGGCTAAAACGTAGACGAAATTTTTTTCACTTTTTTGCGATTTATAAAGAAACGGCTTGGCCGATTGTCGCACAAAATTGACAAACAAAAGTTAACTTCGGGAAGTTAAAAATAAAATATATTTAATATTGTCCTATTTCTACCTATGAAAAGCTCCATTATTGTTATTCCTGTTCCCAGTTTGAGGAGTCCGACTGATACCTCCTTGACCAGAGCCACTGGTCACAGAAGATGCAAGATTTCCTGAATTCGGCAAAGGTCCTACATATGTGACAGTAGTCGCAGGGTCGAAAAGACCTCCACGTCCACTGCTGTCCAGAACACCTCTCCATAACGGAGAATGAGTACTAAAATATAAAATACTCATAAAATATAATAATGTTAATAACATAAGTCTATTATCCCCTTACACTTTGTCCAAGACAGTGATAATATCCCCAGCCCGATACTGAAGTCTGTTCTGATTGCTCTTCATGTCTCCAAGCATCCCCATATTGCAGTTCACGTTCAGGTTAGATACAGTGTTTACGATAGCCTGGACTCTTTCAGGTTTGCATTCTGGTAAATAGGATAGAATTTCTGCAAAACTCGGTCTGTCGAGAGGGTCGTGCTGCCAGCATTTCATCATCAGGGAGTAATATTCTTTGGGGCAGCATTCTGGTTGCTCTAAACGCTGAAGGTAAAAGAAATATACAAAAAATAGTAAAAATCATAATCAAATAAACATCGTTTATATATATATATATATATATATATATATACATTAAGTAAGTATTGATGATGAAATCAACTATAAATAGTATAACAAAGTAGTTGGTATTGGTATTTTGCCTTGAGAGAAGTTACGTGAACTTCCTGATATGTTTAGATAATCGACTTAATCAATAAAAAATAAATTAATTTATAAGTTATTAAAAGTATTCCGAGTGGATTTATTACACATTATTGAAAACGAACGAACACGCTAACTCAGAGTATTTTTTAAAGGCAAATTTTCAAAAATCAATAATTTTTATAATTGAACCAGTTTCCGTAGGACTTTAATGGTTTAGTATGTTCATTAAGACCAAGTACTCTATCGTTATACCAAGTAAATCGTCTGATTTTAATTTTAACAAACGCCAAAAAAACTATTCATTTTCTCAAATTTTAATGAATTTTTAAAATTAAACGACTTGTCGTAAGGCCGTAATATTTCAGTAAGTTCCATAAGACCATGATATATATCGCCAAAAAAAGTTCCATAAAAATCGGCTAAATTTTTTTTTCAATAGATAATTACAAGAAAACGGTTCGGTAGATTTTTACCTAAAACTAATCAGTATTATTCCCAACTAATATCTTTCGAACAGTTTTTGATTTTTGAAAATCGGTTCGGTAGTATGAGCTAAATGTGGACGAAAAGTTTAACACTTTTTTTCAAATTACAAAGAAACGGGTTGGCAGGTCGTCGCCCAAAACTGACAAACCATAGTCCTCATCGAAACACATCGAATGGCTTTTAAATTCTGAAATCGGTTCAGGCGTTTTTGAGAAAACGTCGATCAAAGGTCTAATTTTGACAAATGTCAAAAAAACGATACCAATTTTTGCAAACTTTGACGAATTTTTAAAGCTAAACCATTTGTCGTAGGGTCGTAATATTTTAGTATGATCTAGAAGACTATGGTATCTACCGTCAAAAAAATAATCATAAAAATCGTCGATTTTTTTTTTTTTTAAACTTTATTACAAGAAAACGGCCCGGCCGATCTCAACCAAAAACTAATCAGCACAATTACCAACCAATATCTTTCAAACGGTTTTTGAATTTTCAAAATCGATTCAGAATTGCGGGCTAAAACGTGGACGAAAAAATTTTCACTTTTCTGCGATTTACAAAGAAACGGCCCGGCCGATTGTCGCACAAAACTCAAAAACCCTAGTCCTCATCGAGATACATCGAATAGCTTTTAAATTTTTGAAATCGGTCTAGCCGTTTTTGAGAAAACTTTGATTTACGGTAAAAATGTATTTTTGAGTCCTCTTGGAAGAAATCTGTGAGCTATATATTTAAAATAAATAAATAAAATAAAAAATCCGTTCACACGCACACATACTTTTTCCAAATTTGGTCTCATTCGATTCAGAATGGTTTGAAACGTCGAGAAAACATAAAATTACCGAGTCGGATTTTTTATGAAAAACATAAACTTCTCCTTCGGGAAGTTAATTAAACAACTTGTCGTAAGGCCGTAATGTTTCAGTAAGTTCTATAAGACCATAAAATTCACACTAAAATTAATTAAAATTAAAAACATAAAATTAGCAAATCGATTTTTTTTATAAAAACATAAACTTCTCCTTCGGGAAGTTAAAAATATTTTAAATGCAATATTTAAATATTAATAATGAATTCCACTATAGCAAATAAATATATATTTATAAGACTATTATTATATTGATTATTACCTGATAATTTGGTTCATCGATGGCTTGTAATATCTGATGTCCAGTGAGTGCTGCCCACGGTTGAAATCCATAAGAGAACATTTCCCAGAGTGTAACCGCATAAGCCCAGACATCGGAGGCTGATGTAACCTTAAATAACTTATACACTCTGGAGCACACCTTGGAAAAAATATTAATATTTGTTTTGATTACTAACCAAAGAAAAATCACAATAAATAAATAATTGGAATAGAAAGTTAACTAACATTTTGAAGATAAAAATTATACAATTTTATAGTTAGACTTTAGAATAAATTAAATAGTTAATCTTAGAATGTTTTTATCAGAAAATAAATGTGTAATTATGTTTGTATTGAATCAGGAATTAAAATATCATATCAGTATTGCAGGAATTCATTAAGATTTGATAACTATTGCAAAGTAAATGAGAAAAACCACACTGGGTGTTTGTAAAGAGATAAAAACCGATTAAGCTAATCCTCTAACATTTTGCTAACATTACTTGTTTTTATAGTCAAATGATAAGCATTAAAAAGTATATTTAAAAAAATAATTAAAATAATTAAGACAACCTTCAGCAAAAAGTCTCTTAAAATTGCATCTTTCTCGGTATAAATTATTTGGATTACAATTGAAAGACTGAAAAGTTTTACAATCTCACCATGCTATTGGTAATTTTAAATTAACATTAAAATTAGTTTGATAATAGTCTTTTCCAACTCCTAAGGCTCGACTCAAGCCAAAATCAGAAATCTTGACTTTGTATTTTGAAAACACCAAAATATTTCTGGCTGCAAGATCCCTGCAAAATAAATATCACATATAACCAAGTTAACCTTTTTATTTCTTCTCAAATATCTTTCATTATTTTATCTTATTCTATGTAAATGAATAATATTGTTACATTCTGCATTATGTAATTTGTGTTAAGTTCACTATTAATTTTACTATATATTGTAATTTTGTATATATATATATTAATTGTATCCATAAGTAAAATAATTGTTTTTTTAAGTCCTCTTGGAAGAAATCTGTGGTATATATATTTAAAAATAAATAAAATTAAAATAAACTAGTGGGGCGCATGGCATCGTGCCTTAAGACAAATTGCTGGAACTTCCCGTACCAAAATTATTATTTTTTTAAAAACGATTAACATTTTTGAAAAAAATTTACTCTGAAAAATTATATTTTTGAGAAACTATGAATTTTTGACAAAAATTTACTTTTTTTAAAAAAAAAAACTTTTAGAAAAAAAGTGTATTTTGAAATATTTTGGAAATTCTAAACTTTTTTTCAAAGCAATCGTACTGCTTTAACTGCATAGAGACGAAATATCGAAGCGTATAAGCGCCGCGCCGCCGTCTAACGAATAAGCATTGGTCCAAGTCGAGTCGAGTAATTATATTATGAAAACCAAAATTATATTAAAAAACTGTTTTATATTAAATAACAAAACACTTTAAGGGGCGTCCATTGATTTCCTGAGGTTTTTAGGTGGAGGGGCGGTTTGTGAAAAATCACAAAATATCACGTGGGGGAGGAAAGGGTATAGTAAGATATCACGTTTATTTATTTTTTACCTGAATTAAAAAAAAAATCAAACATTTAAAAAAAAACAAAATTTTACAATTTTTTCTCGTAACTAAAAATACACATATTGTTTGGTGAGGTATCCAAAAATCCTTAAAAAGTCGATCACGTGATTAATGAACGCCCCCGTATGAAACAATTAAATAATATATACTCAAAAATTATATTCAGGTATCGTAAACTAAACAACAATGATCAAAAACAAAAAAATATAATGAAAAAAATTGACAATGTAGCAGTATATTTTAAAATATACAATTGTGAAAACGACGTCGCCCGATTTAAAGCGATACACATCGTTTGTCCTCTACTTTAAAATAGCATCGTTCAAAAATACCACACTTTCTTTGTTAACTGAACTTCCTGTAGGGTAAATTATGTTAATTGCAGAAAAATCGATAATGAAAACTTTTGCATATCTTTACATTTCAGGACCTTCTGAACGTTTGTTTTGATTCAAAAAACATTTATTTGTATTGACGAAATGAAAAATTGGTGAAATTTTTGGGAAGGCAGGTCTAACGGTTTCGGAGATAAAATAAAAAGATTTTAATAAAAATAACACATTTCGTTTACTTTTCTATGGGTTTCGTACCAAGTTTATCCGTTATAGTGCGACGCGGCGCCCACGCGCTTCGATATTTCGTTTTTACGTTCAAAATATAAAAAAATCAAAGGTCAATTTAGTTCAAAAATTTTAAAATCTCGAAAATCGATTTTTTTCAGTGTTCTAAAAGAAAATTGAATCTTTTTTAAACATTTTAATTTTGGTTCGGGAAGTTCCAGCAATTTGCCTTAATATAGATGTCATATACTACTAGTTAAAATTAAATTTTTCTTGTTATTTACTATTTTTATTGCTTACACCTTTGCCAACCTTTAGGCAAATTGCTAGAACTTCCATACCAAAAATTATTTTTTTAAAACAGATTAAATTTGTTTTAAACTTTGTAAAAATTAGATTTTTGAGAAAGTTTAATTTTTTTTAAAAGAATGACTTTTTTGGAGAAAAAACTTTTAGAAAAAAATGTTTCTTTGTCGAAATTTTTGGAAACTTGAACTTTTTTTAAAGCAAAGTCGGTGAATCTAATTTAGAATTAGCAATACATCTTATAAACAGTTTAATAACATAGACTCAACAAATATATTAAGGTCTCTTAAATAAATAACAGTGCTCACAACCAAAACAAATAACAACGAAAGAAAATACTTTTGCTATGGAATTTCAAACATTGCCGTTTATAACCGATATAAACGTCGTATGAATCAAGGTTTAGCTGGTTATACAACTTTTGCCCTCTACTTTCAAATATTGTTGTTAAAAAAATCAAAAACTTGTATTTGAAAATTAAAATATTAAATCATAATACCTGTGTATAAGTCTTTTGTTCTCTAAATAAT